AATATAACGGTTCATAAAATCTCACTTGACTCTTGAGGCATGTCAGCAACCATTAAGTGATGTGCTTTTGTTGTATCATCAACCCACACTGAAAGGGAAGTACCTACATAGGTATTCTTTCGTCCACAACTATAAGCCATTTTTTACTGTTTTTGGTGTACCTAGAGACAAAAATATTGGAAATGGGAGAAAAATGGGGTGCTTTTTTGGCAAAAAAATAACTTGAAATGGTCTTATTCTTCTTACTTTCAAGATTATAAATTTTAATCTTCATTTATGCTTTTGGATAAGAAATTAACAGCGAAATCGTTGATCGCAGAAGTTACTCGTTAATTAGTTATTTATCTACCTTACACCTAGCACACAGTACACAATAGAACTAGTATGTACCTACATAACTGAAACATACTTCATATTCGTTTTATTGAGTGCACCTGACACTAAATTGATGTGGTACATGACGTGTTTGTTATCGTTTATGTATCGGAACGGTATAGAACTATTTTGTTGAATCACTTGACAAGGGCGGCAGTTCAAGGTCGGCGGCGGTCACGCGAACGAAGGTTTCCAGGAGTTCAGGGGCCGACTCCACGAACTAGAGTGCGGTCACGATCGCAAATAAACGTGTTCTCATCGGCCTTTATCGCTGGATCACATGAAAGTAGGCCTCCATAATGCTAATAATCGAAATTGAATATATTCCAAAAAAAATCTTTTAAGGTTGAATCTGGTAAACTCCATGTAAAATAAACAGTTTGGGCAAAAGGCAGATCTTATGGAGGAACGGATTTACTAGATGCAATTAGCTATTGCGTGGATTTGCTCGTCTTTCATTTTTCGGACCTACGCCTCTACATATTTATTATGTCGGCTGCATAGGTTTTAGTGGAATTGATGTGCTTGCTTACACCAAATAATTTTGAAGACTTTTGAACAAATAAATATATCAGGGCAATAATTTCATTCAACCAAACCAATCGGATCATTTCATTTAATGAGAGCGGCAGTTGGTAATCCTACACCTCTAATGTGGGTCATCTCACCGTATATATACTCATTGTAGGTCTCTGATCGCCTCCTTATGTTAGTGTCACCACAGTATATATATTAATTTATCTACTGTGGTGTCACCTTGATCTAGACGTTTATCCAGGGCGCACACCTAATGTCACATCACAATAACAACTTCCAAATTGAAACTGCCTAACATTTTAAATTGTTATGTTCTTCAATGAGCATGGAGTTTTAGTCATGCATGATCTGCATGTTGTGTCAAATAAGTCAAATTATTACTAGCATCTGCCTGCGACTCGTGTGGATCTCAGTCGGTCAAACTGTCACGGAATGCGCCTGCCTCAAGCTTGAGTACATCCACACCAAAAAATGTAATGTTGTTATCCTTAGTATAAGCTATGGATTTTCCAAGTGAGTGTCCCCTTTGGTCTGTTTCTTTTCCAAAATCCAGGATTGGTAGCGCAAGTTTGCGACTTGCGACAAATTGTATTCAAATGAACTCTTCTTTTTAAAGGTAATATTTTCTAATGTTTTCCAAAGTTTTTGAACAATAGCGTGCGTTGCGTATGCTAGTATTTTCAATTTGCATAGCAACCAAATGTAACGGTGACAAAACGTCGATTTCATTAACGTTCAGTTAACTTCACGTAAAGTGTGCGTGATCCTTATTGGCAGAGACGCGTGGGCCGGAGCCGCGGCCGCGAGTTTTCCTCGAAGTGATGACGTCATCGCACTCGACGCCCGCTACATTTTCCTCGTACAAACCTGCTCGAACTTAATACCACGGTCAAAACATGCTAGTTGAAAAACAAAAACTCGTACGAGTAATGTGGTCTGCTACGGGAAACATAAACATTAATTAATGGTAGTCTTTTTGTTTCGAGTCTAAGTAGGCAGTTAGGCACTAGGCTCTAAGGTATTATCCTTCTTGCGGCATGCTTACTTAATTGTTTTATTTAATTGCTACCTTATTATAATAGCTGTTGTAATTTTTTTATTTATTGAAACAGCTTGAGCAACAAGACGTTCCAGTCAAACNTATTTGGGATTTTGTCAAATGAAATAATAAGGTTCCCATAATGTTAAGAAATATAAATTAAATGAATAAGTGGAAACAATCTGTGTTGTAAGTGGTTGTGGATGTTGTTAGGAAATCCCATGATTCAAAGGTATAACAATATTATTAAAAGACTTGGCTTGCACACGTGTTTCCTTGGACAAAAACACGATAACATAGGTGCTGTAATAACAAGCACTACAGCATGCCATAACTTTATGTTTCCAAGTGGACGATTCTCAAACAAAAAAGTAAGTCTTGGGGTTTTCTTCTCTTCTTCTTTTTAACGATTCCTCAAATGTTTTATCATACTCCAAGCTTGTAGTTTTTCTTCAAATTATAATTAAATTACTGGACACAAACGTCACGGGAAAATCCTGGACTTCCCGGACATCTGGCCCGAGCTGTATGAATAGGGTAATAAGAGCTCCGGGATCATCTCCGATAACGAATACAATGGATTGCGACCCTGGAGCGCTTTCGATCCGAGCCGCTTCCGCCTCTATCTGTGTGGACTGACCGTAATTAGGGTATAGCGCCCATAACGTTAGGGCGCGGGTTTAGATTTTCCCATGATTCACGTTTTCGCAGTTGTTTTCTGTATAAAATATTTGTCGATTACCTCTGTTTCAGATCTATCGGTCACCGTCGCTCATGCTGGCATCTCGTTTTGCGAGAGATGGATAGCAACAATCGAAACTTCGGAAAATATTTTTGGAGAAATCCCGCTAATCCTTGTCTGGTACTTTGTTATTTATTGGTTATTGGTTTCAGTTCTTAGCTCCTTCTTTAACGTTTGACAGAGGTTCTTGAATGGAGACGCCGAAGCACAGCGTGGGACCTGCCCGATGGACGGATGTCCTGATTAGGGTTGCGCATAACATTGGACGAAGTGCGGTATGGATCACTCGCGATGAAGGTATATTTTTGGTAATAAAGTGAGCTGCAGGCAGGCAATAGTCCTTCAGAAACTGTTGTATACCCTAGACTTGGGTTTTTCTCTGCTAGGCCTTGACTTCTTAGCGTCGTATAATCTCCCTTGCAATGAAGTTCTAGTAAAAAAGGTTCAAATTCAATTGATCAATTGATCTTCAATGTAGTCTAATGAGATATGAGCCATGAGTCATTCAACAACAACATGAAGATGACTAAGCCAGCTGTCTTATCAACGTTTATCAGGATTATACTTTTATCTCATATTCCATTTCACATTAAAAACACAAATTTAACGCAATATGAGATAAAAAATATGGTAATTAATAACCTAAAAAGACCTATTTTAATATGTCCTTATATGGCTGTTAAATAATTATTTGGACACAATGACAATCACAATTGAAATTTAGAATAGAAAATAGGTCACCAAGTTCTATAGTACAGAATATAGAATCTGTACAATACCCATAAAGTTTGATAAGCTGTTTAGCTTATTGAAATGAAAAATTTCTGTGTTTTGGACATTATCTTGGTATTGTTACTTTTGCAACAGAAAATAAATCAAATCGATGGGCATGGCATAAATCATCTAATGCGCATGTCACTTCACCTGGATTTGGAACTAACAGAAATCATAATAAGTTTAATAAACTTAAGTATCATTTTCAACCGACTTCAAAAACGAGGAGGTTCTCAATTCGACCCGTATTTTTTTTTTCTATGTTTGTTATATACGCGATAACTCCGCCAATTATGAACCGATTTGAACAAATCTTTTTTCGGCGTATAGGTAATACCTCAAGGGTGGTCCCATTTAAATTTAATAATAGAAAAAACAACCCCCAAGGGTGGATAATTGGGGATGAACTTTTTTATACGCAATATCTCCGCCGATTATAAATCAATTTGAACGATTATTTTTTTGTTGAATAGGTATTATCAAAAGGGTGGTTTCATGCGAATTTGAAGAAAATATTTCACCCCCAAGGGTGGAAAATTGGGGATGAACTTTTTTATACGCAATATTTTCAATTTTTAGTTTTTTTTTGTGTTCACGCATTTGAAGTCGGTTTTATTTTTTTTTAAAGTTAATTATGATTGCACTAATTGACAACACATTTCAAAAACACTGTCATACTGAGATATTTTTTTAACATTTGCCTAAGTTAATGGAAGAACATGATGTGTAGCAGCATAAGGAAGAACATGATATTTTTACGTTTTAAAACTAGCATTACCTATAAAAGTAGGAATTATGACGATGTTGATGGTGATGATGGACATTTCTCGAAAGAGATAAGTAATAATATTCTTTCAAAACTCTAAACACATATTTCCTACATTTATTTATCTATATTTTTCACAAGACACAACAAAATAGACTAGTTTAATATCATAAAATACACTTTTATCCAACAATTTATTTAGGGAGGTTAGGCGTAATATATTACTGAAAACATTTAAATTAACATTATCCACAAAACAAAATTATGAGGAAACAATTACATTTGAGGATACTAGTTACTTAGGTAGAAAATAACCCTAAAATATAGCTAATGTTATTACAATTACAGGAAGGATGTTTAACAAATAATGTGTCCACTCTAATGATACACAAAGTTATTACATTAACATACATTATACATGAAATAGGTACCTACTATAATTTTATAATGCCCGTTTTCACCATCAATCCCTAATTTTTAAGTGACCCCTTTGAAAACAAATTTCCTGTTATGTGTTACCATAGGGGTCACTTAAAAATTAGGGATTGATGGTGAAAACGGGCATTAGTCTTATACTTAAATCTTAGACAAAATTTATTAGAGATACTAAAGTTTAAGATTTAGATGCTAAAGTTAAACTTTAGGCATACAAGGAATGTTTTGATCATTGTATTATAAACTGAAAACTTTTTAAAGAGGAACATTCCACAAACTTGTAGATTTTGCTACGCAGTTTAACGTTTCGGTACTGCATGTCTACCACTTACCGAGAGCAAAGGTCTGGAGGTTGGCACCGAGGACACGAAGTCATTTGTGGAGGACCCCTGTGAAGATTGACTGTCATCACAGGAGAAGTCGGAGTGGTTCGAATGGCTGTCACTAACTTCCAGCTTCATTGTCATCAGTTCTTTTCAATAACACTGTATTTTCAAAAAGTTCCAGACTACACTCGAACTGCAATTTACGCAATAAAGTACTTGAAATGTTAAAACGATCCAAATGGCCCGAATCAATTTATTTCCGCGTTATCAAAGCAGCTATCAAACAAATCACGCAATTTCATCTGACAGTTCAAAGATGACAGAAAAATCAAAATATCAAAACGCCAAACTACGAAAGAGCACGGTGTTCACAACAATGGTGACTCATCACTTCAACAAATGCACAAGCGATGACGTCGTCGTCGCTTTGGGGATGCCCTTCTCAATAAGAATTTCAAGCTAACCACAACAAAAAGGCTTAACTGCCAGCTAATATCGCTAACTTACGACGTCCTACTTTAGCCTACAAAATTTGGAGGGTGATATCACCCGTGTAAAATAAGAATATGGCGTGATAGTCGACCAATAGCACGCATTCGCTCTTATGACGTCAACCATTAGGAGAAGAAATAAAAACATGGTTGGTTGTGAAATAATATTTGATGTCCATTGCTCGTTGCCAAACCATAAACGAAACCATAACCAAAACTGTTCACATGCATGCGCAGACATGTATAGAACGATCAAATAAAATTTCGTCATTGAAGTTTTATGTAATTTTATTATTTGCTTTATTAAGTAATGTAAAATTAAATAGTTTAATGTGGTTTTATGGGAATGGGAGAGTTCACAGTACATTTTCCTTACACACATACACATAACTAGAAGTGAAAGATTTGAAAGTAAAAACATAACCCTTTTTCTGGCGTAGTTGGGTAAAAAAACTTTCATACATCGTCGTTTCATCATCAAACATCTCATTGCATCGTTTGATTTTTTTATTGACTGTAGGTCTCTGAAGATCCCTATCCTACCTCTTGATTAAGCTAGACTGGCTAGACTCTTGCCAAGTTATCTTTTTATCTATTAAAAAGACACTGCTACTGCTAGCACGTACAGTATTTCGATAGTTATAATAGTAGGAATAATCAATTCAATCAGTGATCAGTGTGGCATAACTTAACAGGAGAGAGAGTACGTCATGAGCTGCTTTCTAAGCCTCTTCTTTTCTTTTTCTGAGGGTACAGTGGTAAAACCAGTGGTCGAAGAAGTGCTATAGTTTAGGATGTGCAGTGCAACAGACAGGGTGAAATATTCCATAGGCCTCTGCTTCTTTTTTCTGAGGGCAGTGTACAACACGATGTGTTCAAAGAAGAGAAGGAGCATACAGGCATACAGGAAACAGCATAATCTTTTTTTATATTTCGGCGAATACCAGTAACGTTATTTTTATATTTATTGTGATATATCTTTGATTCGTTCCGATGAAATGAAAAAAGTTTAAGCTGTCAGTGAGACGGATTGATTGTCAAAAATTGACAACTACGAATTGTTTTCATTCGTGAATCGTGGTCCATGTGATTTGATTGATGCAGTTTTATGGAAAATTGATCGAAAAACTTGTAATTTATTAGTAAAACTTTTATTCCCAGTTAATAGAAATAATTAAAAGCCACCGCTTTAATAAATGACGCCGATAAGATGGATTGTCTTCTAACATTTAATGAATGTGCTAATTACCATGTTCTTAGTTTTTAAAGTAATTAATCTTGTTTTAGCACTATGTCTGGGAAAAAATGCAAGCATTGTGGATCTTCCGAGATAGAAGTAGATCCGGCCCGAGGAGATGCAGTGTGTACAAGCTGCGGCACGGTGCTGGAAGACAACATTATTGTCGCCGAAGTTGAGTTCCAAGAATCTGCTCATGGTGGTGCATCTGCGATAGGGCAGTTCGTGTCTGCGGAGACAAAAGGAGGAGCCACTGGATTTGGTCGAGGTATAAAAAAATATTTTTATGTAGGTACCTACTTATATTATTTTCCTTTAGTTAGACCTGTTTTAAAAAAACTGTTTTTGTAGCCTTCCATGCTGGAATTGGTCAAGAATCACGGGAGATCACGCTAAGAAAGGCAAGAGATGGCATCACGACGCTCTGTCAGCAGCTCCGTTTGAACCAGCAGTGCATAGACATTGCCTGCAACTTCTTCAAAATGGCGTTGTCGCGGCATTTGACCATCGGCCGGCCAGCCAGCCACACTCAAGCGGCCTGTGTGTACATGACCTGCAGGACTGAAGGCACAGCCCGTATCCTTTACATAACCAATAATTGCACCTTTTTATGTACCCACCTAAAGAATGTTCAAGCTTTTTAGCTGGAATATTAAAATATCTACTAGGTTTGACTAAATGCTACTATACTTACTTCTCAGGATTTTTTACTGGTGAAATGTTACCCTATCAAAATGTATTTATCTAGAAACGTCTGAAACAGCCAGAGCTAAAAATGTTGAAATACACATAGTGGACTCTCTGTTTTTAAATTCTAATTGTTGGCGCTTCTCGGGTCCTCGGGCTTCTTCGACATCGATCGGCCATCATCGTCTCCACGCGAGGCGCCGGCACACTCCGTACGTGCCCGACGCCCACTCAGCCTCACGACCGTCACCGGTGTCAGACGCGGCCCTCCCACGTAGGCGCGAACTAGCAATATAATTATTTAATCATTACACCTATGAAATACAGTCCGCCTTTTAATTTATCTAACGTCTAGTAAGACCCTAACACTAATATTATGGTGATTTCACTGGCTGAAGTATCATTATTTTATTTTTATTTTATATCTTACATCTTTTAATCCAGTAATTAACCGACTTCTTCTAACAATGTAATAATATCCTTCACTAATAGCCCAGATCTCTTGATTGATATCAGCGACGCTCTACAAATCTGCTGTTATCAACTGGGCCGAGCATATTTCAGGCTGTCTAGAGCACTTTGCATCAACATTCCTCCTACAGGTAAGTGCTTTATTTAGTATTTTGTGTGATGATGTATATTGGTGTCAAATTAGCGCAATACTGATACTCAATTTATTGCAAAACAGTAATATATGAAAGGTGCTTTAAAGTTTAATTTTACATATTTTGTTGATTTCTGCACTATCAAGTGTTTGTTTTGAAAAGGTTATGAATAAAATAGGTTGTTACAGTTACAAATATTTAAAAATACCATTGCCAACAAAACTAGCTTAACTAGGTAATAATATTTAAAGGTTAAAAGGTAAAAAATTCTATTTGTGGATCGCAAAGATCACTTTTTTTGAACTGCTACATCTGCCATTTTACCATTTTCTCATTATGTACTTACAAGTGAGGGGGGGTTTAAAATAAAAACAATGTTTTTAAATGAGTTTTAATAATATATTGCAATGAATTTTTATTATGGATTCTAAATCTAAAATTCTAGAGAGCTTTTACAACACCCATATCACAATCTTAAGGTACTTTCCTTATTCGCTAGTCAAGTTCAACAATATACACAAGAACTTCAAATTTTCAACAAAACAATATAATATTAAGGAATGGTTGATTGAATAAATATCTACCTCAATGTTAGTTTTCGAATTATATTGCAAATTTATATTTCTGGCCTTTCTTCATACAGAATAATAATTGAGTGGTCGGGATCTACTCAACTGTCAGTCCTCATTTGTACTTGGATTTGTGATGGTGGTATTGACTGTGGGGCCATAGTAAATCAGCTCGGGTATCTGACCGCCTTGCACTCCAGTACCATTGGTACTCTCTGATGAACAATGGAATTGAAATGTAACTGTTCCCATATAGACTTCACTCAAACCTTCTTGGCCAAAATAACTCAATTCACTTCCATCGAGAATTGCAGAAGCTGTGTAAAAGCATTCTGGTTCAATTTGTATTGGGTTGTCAAAGTACACATGAAAAGTGTTGCTTGATCCATCTGAGAAGAATTTTGTGTTATTCTCGGCCAGAACCCTTCCTAGCCTTTTCAATTCGATTTTCACATTGTAATCGGCGGCTCCGTTAGATGAGCCATACAGTCCGAATCCAACGACGAAAATTCTCTTGTCCACGCAAAATTGTATGGAGTCACAGCGACCGCGATATCTCCATTGATTGCTTCTGTATGCACATGATTGGAATCTGTGGCAGATCTGAAATGCACAAGTTTTTATAAATAATAACAGTGAAGATGGATACATAAGTGATATAATATTTTTTCGAAAATACTTGATATTTACCTGGGCTTTCAAACCTGCTCTGGCTTTTACAGGGTATGAGAGTTGTGGTTTACTTGCAGCAGTGAAATGTAGAAATATATCTATTGTTTCTTGTGGGGTCAAAATGCCGAGTTGTGCTGCACTGTTAGCAAATTCCTCCAATGTCATTGTAGGAAATCTGATAAGATATATGGCACTTCCAAGCATAGCTCTTTTGTTTGTTGGTAAAGGCTCTATTTCCCTTCGGAGGCATTCTGCCTGAGCCCAAGCTAATGCTGCTTCAAACAGATTTATCTCTTTACAATTCAGAGTTTCTCTCGCTAATACTGACTCCAGGGTTGACACATCTATGTCAACAAATCCTTCAGACGTCAGGGCCATCTCAGCCTATAAAGAAATAAACAAAATATTAGGGGGAAGGTATATTAAAACTGCAATACAATTTGTCCATTTAATTTATTTAGATAGATCTATTTACAGAAAATTACAAAATATTACAAATCTGTAAGTGTACTAATGATTGATACAATGCTTGAACTTAGCATGCACCTACAAATAAACTGTATTGCAGTTAATATAACATTATGCAATGTAGATCTACATACAATGACTAGAGGTTGTACATTGGAAAGTAAATGGAATGTAAATAATATTATTTTGTACAATCTTGAGTATATCAGGTTTAGGCTCTCCTAAATCTAAATCACAACCTAAAAAATTATATACAAATACCTAAAAGTAGTGGCACAAATACTTTCTGTAAAAAGTTTTTAATTTACTGAGAATTATCTTAAACAGAGAATACTATGATAACACCAAGTTGAACAATGTTTTTGACTTAACATGCTAATTGCTATAATTTTCAGTACTGTCTTTACTTTCAGGGCTTGATAGGTTCTGACTGGAGGTCTCAGATAAATCCATTAGTAGGCTATTGTATGAGGAAGATGGTTCAAAGCCGAGGGTCGCTAAGTTTTCTGTTGACTGACATACCTGAGCGTCAATAACTTCCCAGCATCGCTGCATCAGTTCTGGCTCCTCAAACAACCTTGACTGGCTGAGGAGCAGGCAAGCGTTTTTTGCTGTGAGACTGGTTTCCAAGTAGCTGACACATGCTCTCGCTAAATACGGAACTATGTACTTCTTTGCAACATACAGTGTTGATAATACTGTGTCAGCTTCCAACTGAATTTCATCACAGTATAGATACCTGCAAGAAAAATTAAAAATGAATAAATTTTTAGCAGGTATTTAAAACCAATTACAAATAAATAATAAAATATTTACTTGAGTAGAGTGAGGAAGGCAGATGGTTCGACATCAGGAACTTCAATTTCTTGCTTGCACTCCGCTAGTCCTCCATAAAACATAGCGTAGAAGACAGAGCTGGCAGTAGCTAATACGTATTTGTGCGCTGGTATTACTTTTGTGTGGCCTGTAATTGCAGATACAAAATGGATTAGTAAATTAGTTAATAATTAGTTCGGTCATTAATATTTTCGTTTCAATTATTTTAACTGATATTTATTATGTTGTTTGTATATTTACCTGGTCCACCAACAATGAATGTAACATCAGACATTAACTGATTATTGAACATCGCTGCATTGCGTTCCCTGACTGTGGGTTTGGTAGCTTGCCAATTCGGGTCCAGGGTAGCGGTGCCTGGCGGTGGTGCCGGAGACACGGTGGGCGAAGGCGCGGAATTCGTGGACCCACAAGGGGACGGGGGCCCACTGTAGCATTGAGACACTTGAGTGACTGTCTCCCGTTGCGATATCGTGTGAGGCGGAGACAGCGACAAACCCCCGCCATTATTGATGTTTTCCGCTGCAATGACAAACCATTATACATAAACATAACTACATCTGCTATACACTTGTACGCAATATGCGTAGCCAACTATAATTCGCACTGGTCAATTTGGGTCAGACGTCTAAATTTATTAAAGGTCATGACTTAAAATTATGTTCAATGAATCAGCTAATATCTTTACACCATACAAATCTTTAATTGCGTCTCAAAATAACAGGTTTTTCAAATAATCAATATTTACGTGACTTCTCACCATTCATCCACGCATTCGTTTGTGCAACAGACATGCTTTCCCTACTTTCTGGCAGCCTTTTCGGTGGTTTATAAACTATTCTTGAGCACAAATTCGACATAATGATCAGAGAGCCTCGCGAAATTTAAATTTTTAACTAAACATTTAGGCCGCGATCCCCTATACATTGACGTCAGCCATCTTGTTTGATAACTGAGGGGGTGCGGGGCGGGTAGGAGGAGTAAGTAATGACATTTCGTTCGGAAACAGCATGACAGAACAAAATAAATAACAGAATAACGTTATTCGTTATAAAAAAAGTACAAAAAATGGCTCCTGATGCGTGCGCGGGATGATTCAAAACATAACTTTGTTCTTAGCTTACTCGTTTTATCCTTCAGCAGTTGTGTTATGAAAGAATTTAATAAGATTAATGATTGAAGTTAATGATTTTGCGCAGGTCAGGTACAGCTTGTTTGCCTTCAGTCGCACTTTTAGCACTGTGTTTGATAAACTATGCATAAAAATGAAGTAATTCATACCTTGCGCCAACTGACGCGCCCGCGGCCGCGGCGCCCGCTGCCGCTGCTGGCAGTTCAGCTCGGCGAACCTTCCGTCCTCATCGATCAGGCTCTCGAAGAAATCGACGCTGCTGTTCATCGATGACCGGACTTGCAAATGACACGCATACCAAATGAAGCTGTGAAAACAATAAATAAACATGACACTAGTTCTAATATTCAAATTCACGAAGTAGGTGCGTTGAACCCTCTCGTTCTAAATCGGTTTGCGTAAATACTCGTACTTATGTGAGAATGTGATTGTTCTCGTGTAATTAATTCAATGTCTATTGGCAAATCAGTGTCCTATCCTATGCCCTACTCAAGTCACAATGTTCTTGTGTTGTCGTTTTAATCGGAAGTTATTGTATCTACATCAATGATATTAAAGAACTTTTGTTTTTATATAATATCATTGATCTACATGATTTAAAGTGTTTGTTAGTAGTCTTAAAAACTTCGGTAAGGTAAAATTTTTAGGATTTTAGCCAAGCGTTTTAGGATCGCGGATCTTGTGATTTTAAAAAGACTGCTCTTTATTTGGCAGTCTGGTAGTGGCAGGTTTTTAACTAACTATAAAAATTACTACACAGGTTATTCGTAATTTATGAGGAAAGAGTCAGCGCAGACTTAAATTGCCGTTTCCTAATAAATTAATTGCACTACCTGCAGTGTATGTCATCTATCCAAACTTTCATAATATTTATTAATTCCACAACGTAGCACGACATCCACTTGTTTATTTTGATAAGCATATTTATGGACTGAAAAACTTGTTTTCTGTTCTTAGTATTTGTACGAGAAGTCTCATTAATTTTAATATTCTTTTCTTAATTCAAAGTCACTATTAATATATGTTAGAGTTCTTTATTCTCTAAATGTATTTGTTTTATTGGAACGAGTCATTAGTATTGATCGGACTTTTAATATAGTAGGTTACGAAATCGACTTTGTCCAAGTTCTTGAAAAATCTATTGTCCGTATGTGAACCTACATTTCGACATTCAGAGTATCTGAACGCGTTTTTCATTGTTCTTTTGAAGTAATTGTGAATTAAGGGCATCATTATTTAGTATTATGACGACGTTATGAAATATTTCACTGATATTTGGATGTAAAAGCACATCAGTCATCAAACTAAATATTGTTAATTTCGTTTCTAAAATTGGTCCCATTAAATGTGTAAATTAGACCCATTTATAACCATTTAATATGGTATGGGTTGTTATCTGTCTCTCATGGCTTTAATTGTCTATATTTTCAATACTGGATTATTCACGAATGTTCTACTATGTAAAATACGGAATTTTCCCAGCATTAGACAGAAGTAAACATAGCCATTTAGATGTTTGTTATCATTATTAAGAACAAAAAATGTTGTTACAAATATCTACTGGAGGAACCGGTTGTGATACCATAAATAAACTAGCGCCGAGTATAATGCAATGAGAGCAAAATAATAATATCTGTTACCTAACGTCTGCGTAACATAGATAAAAGTACATTAGTGCTATTTGAGAATTATCGCGCTTACAATTTAAGCACAGAATGTAAGGAAAAAACAAGAGCAGTTGCAGCACTTGCAGCATAATCATCATTTTTTTTTACATGCAATTTGAGAGACATTGACTGACGGAATATTCCACTAGGTATATTTTCTTCAGTGTCTAACTAAACTAACTGATAGATGAACTAGCTAGGCTCGATCTAAATCTAAATCACTGATTTCATAAAAAATGAATTTTAATAAAATCCAAGCGCAAATTCTTTAAAAAATGCGAGTTAATTTTCAATTGCATTTTAAATGCAATGCATAATTAATGAAATAATATTTATGTTAATTCAATTGGCGAATAATATTAATTAGTGAAGTCATAGTTTCCATTACCATAAAATCTTTGGGTAAGGGTGGGAACATCGATTGATTTGGTGCCGAATACCCAAATCTATCAGAATAGAATAATATTCCTGGTAGAATCTTTTAATATCTAGGTATAGGAAAATAATTGTTTCCCGCTATGTAAAGAAACGGAACTGAAAATATCGTTAGGTTCTTGGCTGCCCTTTCTGGATGCACATGCAAAGTTGCAGACTATTATTTTTAGCTAGGACAGAAGATGTCTCTATGACTCGCAGCAGCAGTACTTCGTGTTTATTTCTATACGTGCATGAAAAAGATGCAAATGTGAAATGTGGAAGCAAATCTTTCTGAAGTAGTTCTTTCCAGAGTCCAATAAATATCAACAATTTGTAGGCTGTAGGCATTTTGCAAATTTACGAAGGCTGGATATGGATATCCAAATCTTCGGTCGAAATATTGATCACTGATATTCTGACTATTGTTCGGACAGTCCGGTACGCGACACACCCCAGAAGGCCATTGTGATTGATTTGATTGATGAATCGATTGGATTAACATACCTTTATAAATTCCCAAAATGCAAAATGCCTACTGCCTAAAAATAGTTGGTATTTGGACCCTCCATGATCTACTTTTTTGACTGTGATTGATTGAGATAAAAAAACACTGTCTATAATATTCCACCGCAACGAAACCCACCGGTAAGCAAAGAAGACTAGATCGGCTTTGGTAAACAACCAACGCAGCAGTATCTTTCCGAGGAACACAGGCAGTTGTCCAGATGCCTTGTGAGGACTCCCCTTCATCTCATTCTTGCCGTGAATCGTGCATATCCAGTTCACTGAACACTGACACTTCACATTAAACTGTTATTTTGTTGAATTGATCGTATCGGTGCGCGCGCGCGTAGCCGGTGTGCGTGCGAACTCTGCGGCGGCGCAGCTAGAACGCCGACGCCGCGCAAGGCCGGCGCCAAGGGACACCTGCCCCGGTGCAAAACTGGGAAAGTGGATGATGTCATATCCAGCACAATAACGCATTGATCTACCTATACAGTTCTCCATTTCAAGCCCAATTTTGTCACTTTTGTAGAACTTGATCTATCGACTAACAGAGGGGCTTATTTTTTATGATCATGGACCTCCAAGCTTCAGTCCAATTTCCATTAATGCTTCATAATGCTCTTAACNAGGGGCTTTTCAACCCCCATACTAATAAAACTAACACGCTCGTTGAACAGTGTTTTAAAGTGACGTTTAGTATGGAAATGTCATTTTAAAACAGTGTTCAACAACTGTGTAACTTTTTATTAGTAAGGGGGGGTAAGTGATTTGTATACTAATTAGTAGATATAAATAATTTTAGTATTTAAAACAGCAGAAGCAGAGCCTTAGTCTAGCTCTACAGGTTTTATGTCGATGATATAATTGATTCGGCATTTTGCAGATCATTTTAAGGAAACTATACCGAAAATGTTGGTGTCAGAACAAAACATGTTATGTAGAGTACAAAAGAACGTCTAAAATTAAATTAAATGTGTCTGGTGGGTCAGTTTAAGGTTTAAGACTGGTTTTATTTGTAGTTATCTCATGCATCTGACAAAACTAAAGTGATCTTGAATTTATTCCGCTATTCACATTTTGTCATTGCTAAAGGTGCAAAATATTTAGCTACTTCCTGTTTCCGTATTGACCGAAATAAATGGTTTTGCCCGACATATCTTTATATTATTTACTGAAATATTTAACACTGTAACATACCTACCTAGTAATAATAACTTCTCGAATGTTGTGACTTTATGTCGAAATAATCTTTACACAATTTAGTTATCGTAGTTTATTTTGTAAGTGTTATCGGCCACTGTAATCATTTTTATCACTATCATATCATTGCATTGTATTTGATGAGCCGTTAACAGTATTTCGACCTTCTGTTTCAGGGTCAAAAGTTAACTATCAAAGTTAAATACATTCGCCATCTCTATTCAGTTGGCCATGAAGACAATCTATTGTATCGTAGATTCGAATGGTTTACAAATGAATAGGAATTTATTATTTATAATTCATCTCCTTTCATCTTCCTTATTCTATTTGGTACTTTAAAAGTTCGAGGGTTTCTTAATTAAAATAATTCTCGTTACACAAATTTGGAGGTTTGATTTCTGAATTGTTATATTTTTTGTATAAGGTATATTCTCTTGCAAACTCCTACATACCAATACGTATTTCAGTCTCAGACCAATAAAAGTACGTATTTGAGATTACATGTTGTGTAACGAAACATAAAACGTATCTATATGTAAAAAATCACACTTGAAACCCTCGGCTCCTGTCGAGTACAAAATCGCAGTTCCAGACCAGAACCCTCAGTATTTAACATTTCCGAGTTGATCAGCCATCTTCCCATTCTGTAGGCATCATCAGCTTGATTAGTATGCGGGCGGCGCGTGCGCGTAAGCAGACCATAACTATGCATGTCCCAGCGAGACCACTTCTGTTTTCCAACTGCTCGTGTTGATGACACGGTGTTGATTGCCCAAATAATGTTGAGGCGTTGAGTTTCATTTATTTGTGATTTACACTGAAATGGTAGAGTTATTTTAAATATTTTTTATTAATAATATTAATATTGATGATACACTTCGACTCTTATTGTCTTGGCGGTGCTGATGCGCCCGAAGTTGTTATTGTTATGCTGAGGGCGAACGATATTTGATCCAGTCAACATGGAGATGGGATTATTTTTAACTACTTATAGAAGCACAGTCCTGCCTGCCCATAGCCATATGCTTTCCGCAACTCTTTGCTTGACCATAACGAAACATTTCGAAAGACAAACTCTTCGAAACTTTATTACCAAACGACTGTATCGTTAGAGGAAGAATTGATTATTCAATCAGAGCCCTGTGTCTGTGTCTGTCCGTGCCACTGCATCAAGAAAATGGTCTATAAAACGAAGGCTCATTGCCGCACTCGCACGCAGAGCCGGGAGGTCGGATCGGAGATGCATTACATTTAAATTTAAGTTTAGTCACCCACTTTCCTCTTGAACTCTGTGCTGAATTTAACATGGTCCAAATTTTATGGCAGATTCGTGTTCACAAAGTACAAAAAAATCTATTCTGGAGAACAGATTCAAGCATATACGGCTTGAATCTATTCTCCAGACTTAAATCAAGCTCAGCAATAATTGAATTTCAATATCACAAGCTTGACTCAAGTCAAGATGAAACTGTTTTATGCTGGATTTCTATATTAAATCCTAATCCAAATTATACGGATTTGTATTGTCAACTGTCAAATTTTAATATGTTTTTGGCCAAAATAACTGCGGTTTTTGATGTTTTTACATTTTTATATTGTTTATAAGACTATTTAAACAATATTAAAGTGTAAATGCATCGAAAATTTTGGAAATATAATCTAAAACTGAATTCAATTTGACAGTTGTAATCCGGATTTGGACAAGGATTGAATATGGGAATCGGGCGTTAGTGTGTCCAAATAATTCCACCGATCACACTATTGAAGTTTGAATCGAGTTTGGAGCGTAAGTCTCAAGCTCAGAGAAAAGGAACTAAGTAACTGCCTTTGGGAAAGTTTGGTTGTTCTTTTCTATACCTTTCTTATTTTGGATCGATTTCCAAATTTAGTTTGTCTAAAGCTTTGTGTTTTAGCAACATCTATTGGCATGTCTGTCCCGTGACAAGTATGTAGACTGAACCATGCAGAACACGCCATATTGAGCTCGTGACACCTGACCTCCTTTATGCCCTACGATATAAATCATTGTGACAAATGATCTACATAGGACAACTCAGAGTGTGTTGTGGTGAGTTTGCTACGATGGGAATCTGCATGGTCCAGATAATATCTTGCAGTTTTTGTATGATGTAAACTAAGCTTTCTGTATCTTCTCTTCTTTTGCAAAAGGATTCTATGTAAAAGTATGTACGTAGGTTGAGTGAGTATGTCTTTATGGTCTTTATTTCTTTAGCAACTTTGTTGCTGTCAATTTATTCGATGTCAATTAACTTATGCATTTTTTGTAAAACAACAATCCTGGCTTTTGCAAAGGTCACCTGATTCAGGTCTTTCACACCGGCCGGGTAGGAAGTCCAATTTAAATTTAAGTTCTCAATCGAGAGCACAGACACCTTTCTGTTGCAAAATAGCATGTATACCAACTGCATAAGATCCCACACACAGTGTTTAGCTTGACGTGCTGTAGTCTGTGCATTTATAAAGATCGTTTCGCGAAATCGCCTTCGAGTCTAAGTCGGTGTACCGTATAACGAATTCACGAATCGTTGTTTTTAATGACGCAACTAATTTCTCCGCTATTTATTCTTCCGCTTAATAGATCCGTTTTTACTTCGGCGGGTTTATGTAACGAGAAAATGCGGTCAAGTGCGCATTGCCTCGAGAAGAAAATGAGGGATTTATGCACTTGTTTATTATAGTTATTAGCAAGGATAATCCAGATCTTAGTGCTTAAATACTGTGTTAACTAATTTAATTAAAATGTTATCGTCTTATTTTTTTTAAAAGCGATGATATCACCTTTTTGCGTTCTAACTTCCAATATTTTAATAAAGTAGTGAATACGCTTTCACTGAGAGACAAAAACTTATTTTTCATTAGTTTTGAAGACGTTGCGCAGGCTTTACAAACAAGATTATTTCATAAACTAGCTTTCCGCCCGCGGCTTCGCCCGCGTGGAATTTTGTCTGTCACAGAAAAACTTTATCGCGCGCGTCCCTGTTTTAAAAACCGGGATAAAAACTATCCTATGTTCTTTCCCGGGACTCAAACTATCTCTATGCCAAATTTCATCAAAATCGGTTGCGAGGTTTAAGCGGGAAAGCGTAACAGACAGACAGACAGACAGACAGAGTTACTTTCGCATTTATAATATTAGTTGGGACGGTTAAGAAATAAAACCCCTTAACAATCGTCTCTCCATTACCATTACCCAGACATGCAGCTAATGATCAATATGAGAAGGCAGACCACCAATGACGTGTCAACGGTACAATGTTTATGGTTTTCATACAAGTGGTCACGATGACGGTGCACGTTGTGGTGTCAAGGTCGCCTTGCGAAACCCAGGACGAATTTTGTAGGCCTGCACCAAATAGGTTCTCTGTTCTCTGACGTAACGCATGCTGCCAACTTGGTTTACTTGGTGCGTCATCGAAATATTGGGACAATACTTGGTGCAATTGAATTAACGTGATAGGCGTCATGAAACGCAGACACTGCCCGTCGATTAAACATATTTTTATGACCTTGTAGTTATATGATCGGTCAAAGAGAATCTACTCTACTCTATTTGTCATCTGTCTGGTACTCAAATTGCTTCAATTTTCTTCTGATTGATTTCTTCCAATAATATGTTTTTAATGTCACCGCTTTTTGGGTCATCTTCTTCGAAGCTCGGAGGGCTCTAACTACTGGTTACAGTTAGACAGTTAGAGGTAAGACAGCCAGTTCCTCTGCGGTTGAGGATTCCGGGTGAGGGTCGCTTCCATCTTTACCTGATCGTCACTTTCCATCAGGTAAGATACACGCCTAGAGCTTCCTTGTTGGGGATATAAAAACAACCCACACTTTAGAAGATAGAGTTGTTAATCTTAAAGATCTATTTAATTTCACGGTCAATTAAAACTTCCTAATAATATAAAGTAGGTATGTACCTACAACCATTTTAAAGCCATACGCAATTAATTAAGAATTCACGGTCTCTACTTTAAGTTCATGAAACTCTTTACTAAAATAAACAACATTCCAGTTATTTATAATTAACTTGTACTAGGCAATGATCAAATGTTGATGCGAAACATAATTTTATGCTTAAAATTTCCGAATCCTGCGCGTGTTCCATTGTTCGCGAAGTCAATTATGCATGAATTTATAATCATTTATAATTATAAACCTGTCGTGTTATCGAAAATACCTTCGTCGCCTACGTTCATCACGTCAACAGTGATCTTTTGCCAAACATAGAATAATGAAGGCAAACTTATTGCTTGTTTGTTTTTTATATAAATGTACCTAAACCAGTGTTGAACTTTATTTTTGTTGTATAGNACAGTGCAAGAAACAGTGCTGCTAACATTTAAATAAATATGACGTTTGCTAACGAATAAGGTTTTGCTTGTTTATTTTTCTATCCCATCAGTGCAATGCAATGATGACATTGACCAATTGACAATAGTTTTTTTTATTTAATAGAAATAATAATGGCAGGTTGAACCAACAAGAAGGTTTTAGTTTATCAATCATAATAATCTTCTTGACAAGATAAATCGTCAAACACCTTTGATATCAATAATTTTGAACTTTACTGACGAACAGTTAAAGATTATTTTCTCTAAGTCGAGATTATTCTGTAACATAGTTTCAAAAGGTAATATGTGCTCGCGATTCGTTGAAGGAATCAATTTGAAAACTGACGAACCTTTTCATTCCGTGACTGTACCTAAACCAGTGTTGAACTTTATTTTTGTTGTAACTACCAAAAGTCCAAAATATCGGTTTACACAACAGATTGGTAATATAATTCGACCTTATTTCATATTAAATATAATGTTAAAAATAATTAAGTTGCGTTAAATGAACGCTTAAAGTTGTCTTGATTCAACTCACAAACTGAGTTTCACACTGCACCTTTAACCAATTTATAAAATTCTACAGATCTACCATTTGATATTCGTGAACGACAAAAAAATTGTAAATCTTAAATAGATTCAAAACCTTAATTTAACTTTGATAATCTTTTGTTTTTTGTGCAATTAATGTAATCCGCGCATTTTGTGTCCATTATGATTCTGATAGGTATACGGAAATAATAGGGCTCTATTCTCTTTCTATCTCTCTTACTCATAATAAAGATGCTTGTATGAGTGATAGAGACATAACTATGGAATGTGAAATCGATTGTTAGAGTAGACCTCCAGTACGTGTGTGCATGTCTACTTGCATACATTCTCACCATTTTGCACAGACAGAGTCCTCGTATGCATTACCACAAACCTAGTATACCTTGGAAAACTACATGTTCAACAACTTATTCCCTCAATTTTGGACTTTAATCCATTGATATAAGTATCGCCGGCTGCGTTCGCGATTGTACGGGAAGCGGAATCGGCCATCGAGTAAGGTGAAGGCAACATACAAAACTCGTGTATTGACTTGTGATCTTAAACTTGAACAAATCTTAAATGTCTGAGTACTATATTTTCTCATAGGTTAGACTGCAAGAATTTTTATACTAATATTATAGGTAAAGCTGATCTATCTATACTAATATTTTAAGGCCGCTTGTAAACATCTGTTTTTTTTACTGGACTACGGCCCAGTTTTTTCGTCTGATTTAGTGGTGGTGTATGGTTTATAATGAACGTGGTGTGCACATGCATCGGACATAGGTCCTTCGAGAAAATTGACAGCAAAAAAAGGATACTTATCCGTTTTATGACGGTCCGTCGTTTTTTAGGGTCTTGCCACACTGGCGGATTACAAGCGTTTTCAAAGCGTCGCTCCGCGTTGAAAACGCTTGCAATTCGCCAGTGTGGCAGCTCAATTAATTTGTTTGGATCGGAATCCTTATTTAACATTTGAAAAAATATGTTTTTCTCAAAAAAAAATTTGAACTTGGACGTCTATGTCTATTATAATTGTAAATAGAGTGAAAGAAGATGCATCTGTAGGTACTTTCCAAAGTCCTTCTCCAACTTTCTCCAAAGTACATTAAGAATTATATCAAAATGTCTCTAAGCTCTTTAAAATTAGTTTTTTTAGTCGGACCGGTCGGCGCTTGGACCTTGACATTTTACCTTTTACTTTTCTTTAATTCCTATTGAGACTTAGACCCAAAATGGATGGAAGGTTTATTCTAAATTATCTTCACATTTTTAAAATAAATCTTGCGCATACGCACCAAAAAACTAAAGGCAGAAATGGGTCTACAAAGAATGTAGAGTCGACAGCTCATACGATTGTCATTTTTGTTGAAAATAGTTATCTATTGCAACTACAATGATGCAATGGTATTTCCTTTCATGTGCCGTCATCTGTAAGCACAAGAAATCGTTATCAGAAAATAGTATCTACCACTTCACATAAATGCAATACCTTAATAAGTGAACTCTTTCTTTAGAAAACAAAAATTAGCATGAATTTTAAATGTCTTAAAATTAAAATTTATTTTATGAAACGTGTTTCTCACAGCCACGCAGCCTTCAAAAGCCATTATGAATTTACATAAAAGAATTTGCTTCTCCGGCCCAAGTCTAAAGCTGTCTGCATTTTCAATTAGTTGAATGAATAATATTGGAATTATTAAAACGCATAACTATTACATTTATATACGCTTCTCCCTATCTCTATGAATTTTCATCAAAATCTGTTTAAATGGCGAATATGTACTAAAACTGAATACTTTATGCAATAGAACGGTTATATGCAACTTAATCGAGCTCTTTTTAAAGTTCTTTACTGTACAACAACGAATAACTTCATAAATAACTGTTAATGATAGAGTTTGACAACGATTAGTAATCTATTGTATAACACGCCGTCGAGCCTTTAAAATAAATAGGTCTCAAGAATCATTAGTTTTCATTTCAAATGACCATTACTAAAGCTATATTTAAAAATAAATAAATAATAAAATAAATAAAAAAAAATATTCACCATGACAGAAATATGTACACAGTGTTAACAGAAGTATTTTAGTACAGTAGGTACAAGTCGGTAGAATGGCATGCCCCTGTCCTCTAAACTAGGATAGATCCTGTATCTTAGAGAACAGTGATTCCTCTGGAGACATTGTAATTACTTAAATTTAATTTTACATGTGGCTTTTATGTTATGCTTGCTGCTCACTATGTGTGTGTGTGTGTATGTGTGTGTTCGGGTGGGTGTCTGTGTGGGTGTCTGTGTGTGTGTCTGTGTCTCTCTCTCTGTGTGTGTGTGTGTGTGTGTGTGTGTGTGTGTGTGTGTGTGTCTTGAGTCTAAGTGGAAGTGGGTTTGGGAATGTGTTATTGTTGTGTTGTATTTATATTAAAAGATTTTCAGTCTCATTGTAATTTAGAGCAAGTAATAGTTCTTAGTAATTTATTACGTCTAAGTATGACTATGACCTATATTAATAAGTGCCCTACAAAGGGCATTTCATACGCGTACCTCGTACTAATAAAAATTATTTGAATTTGAGTAATTGATTACCAACCCAACTTTTTGTCTTATCTTAACTATATCTAAATTAAAAGATTTTTAAGTCTGAAACATGCTTTCATGTATACGTCTATTGTTTACAGATCCATGCCTGTACATCCTCCGGTTCTCGTCGCAGCTCCAGCTAGAAGACAAGCAGCATGAGGTCAGCATGACAGCTCTTCGGCTGGTGCAGAGGATGAAGCGGGACTCGATACATTCCGGGCGCAGACCTTCTGGAATTTGTGGGGCTGGTAAGTTTCTAGATGCTCCATCTAATCTCTTATCTTCCCTGTGCGAATTTCGGTCTCATAGAAGGATTTTTCGTTCACCTGTCCCCCATTGAAAAACGGGATTAAAAATTAGCTTACGTTTTTTCTTGGATCTCATATTATTCCTCATCTAAATCGGCTCAGTGACTCGAGCGTTAAAAGAAGTTTGACTGTGTCAGAGTCAGACCCGTTAAAAGGTACGAGGCGGGCAGTTATTTTTGCATTTATAATAACAGTATACACATGTACTACACGTAGGTAGGTACTTAGTGTACCTAATAAGTATTGAAACAAGTCGTATAAGTAGCTATGTATACTGATTGACTCTATCAATATTCAAGTTCTAATATGGTCAACGTTACCATGACTCAGCTACCATTTGATCTAAGATGAATAAGCTGACCTTACGATATGAAATTTGCTCAACAACTCAGGGCAACCCAATAACCAGGGCCTTGCATGTCATATGCACCCGGTAGAGTCGTTTGTCATCCGACAGTTTGACAGCTGCTGACAGTAAGGTTATTCACCTGTCTCATTATACAATCTCGCCGACAATCTTAACTGTCTCAACCAGAATGTGGCGATACGATACCCGAAGGTTATGATGATCAGACTAAAAAAGTTCTGAGAGTGAGTTTGTTGCGGCGCTTCTTCTTAGAACTTGCTAAATGTTGATCTCTACTCTCGAAGCGCTGGACAAAAACAGTATGTAAAAGTTCTTATGAGCAAAACTAAGTTTTTTATTAAGGCTTATTTTTTTTTAATATTTGACGATTTGTAAGCACTATTTAATAGTCCATAACAGGTTTAAAGAAATTTTTGACTTTGAGAGGACGTGGAAAGTTTACTGCCTGGCGATTTGCAAACCGGACTACAACGCAGGTGATAAGTTTAATTTCAAATGGGGAAAATGTTATAAGCAGCATTTATGTTCGGAGTCATGGACGTTTATAATGTACAGTTGACAACACATCAGCCTCCACAATTTCGTTGAAAAGTAGCTTCTATTAGAACTGAATAAGGGACCATGTTGTTTACCTTGATGAGCCTTCGTCTGTCTAGTAGCCTTGTAATTTTGAGCTAGTTAATTGCAATGAACTCCAAAATAATGATTTCAGAAAGTAGTCCGTAACTAATTGTTTTTAGTCAAAAGGAACTTGACTTCATTTAGGTAGTCATCATAACGCAATAAATACAAGAGACCAAGTACTCATTATTTTACATTAATATACATACAAGTACGTATCAGCGAGCGATCATTGCAAATACCTAAGTATTGATTGTTAATGCATTTGCAGTGGTCTTCAACAACGCAAATATTGAATTTGACTATATTTTTAAACAGAGAAAAATAAATATTCGTTGTACTTATTACATAACATCACTAGAACTAGTTAATATTCTTAAAAACTGTTTTGTTATTATTAGTTTTTTTTTGTTCTATGACCTTTTGACTCTTCTAAGTTGACTCTTTTACGGTACAAAAAAATTGATCAGATTGTCTCATATTTCCATACAAATTAAAAAAGCCTTACACGAGCAGTATGTGGGCAGAGATTCGTATTCCGGTGCAAGATGACTGTATACCAGAACTGGTACAAATAAGCGATATATTTTAGTTACATAACGCAATGTAAACAAACGTTGCACTTGCGTTCCTTATGTAACCCATGAACAACTGGCACAGACCACACAATTTGGTGAATGAAGTCACTCGACCGCCAAGGCCAGAGCATTTTGCTTAACACTTCTTATTTATTCAACGCGCTTTATATCTTACTAGCTTTCCGACCGCGGCTTCGCCCGCGAATTTTGTCAGCCACAGAAAAACATTATCGCGCGCGTCCCTGTTTCAAAAACCGGAATAAAAACTATCCTATGTCCTTTCCCGGGACTCAAACTATCTCTATGCCAAATTACTTTCGCATTTATAATATTGATTAGTATAGATTGTCTACAACCGTTGTCCCATTTGTGAACTGGGTCTAAAACAGCTGTAACGTTAAATTAACATGGCAACTTTTGTTTGGTTGTCACACATTTATGTAACAAAACAATGTAAAATAAATATTAACACTGATTGCGTGACATCCCGCGGATGGCAATATAAACATTAAAACTGTTTTATGTACAGTCAGCTTCAAATAGTTCGTGACACCTATGGTAGTCAAAAAGTTCTCAACACGTTTTTGTTACTGGATTAATGTTGTGCTGTCAAGTTTTTGGTCACTTTGGGTGTCACGAAGTATTTGACGCTGACTGTACCTAATGTCAAGGTATATACAGGGTGTTTTAAACATTGGCGTCCTTTTTAAATAAGATTAAGAATATGAGGATCAAGTCAAATCGGCAATAATTTATTGTAGTTAATAATTTTTTGGCCCACGTGAATTTGCCTGCCACAAAAAATTTCAACAAGCGTCTCGCTCTTAAAAATCAGGATAAAAAAAAACTANAATAATAGTTCTCGCGGACGCCAAGCGATGTGGTCCGAATCGTCAAAGTGCACGAGTCGACTATTCGCAAGCGGCTGATGGAGTTCGGAGAGACGCCTTCCAGCGCCCTCACGTTGGATGAGTTCATGACCGTGGACCTGGAGGAGGAACAGGACCCTCCGGCTTTCAGAGCTGCTAGGAAGAGGGATAAGGAGCGGTTGCAGAAGGTAATAATCAATTAATTATAATAATAGCTCTCGCGGACGCCAAGCGATGTGGTTCAAATCGTCAAAGTGCACGAGTCGACTATTCGCAAGCGGCTGATGGAGTTCGGAGAGACGCCTTCCAGCGCCCTCACGTTGGACGAGTTCATGACCGTGGACCTGGAGGAGGAACAGGACCCTCCGGCTTTCAGAGCTGCTAGAAAGAGGGATAAGGAGCGGTTACAGAAGGTAAAGAGCGATTGATTAAACTTACGACCCTCTGGCTTTCAGAGCTGCAGAAGGTAATGATCAATTAAACTTTTAAGCTTCAACCACACCAACGTGTGCAGATTAGGCATGGAAATGATTGCTATTTTTCATTCATTTTCATTATATGAAATGATGATTCTTTTTCATATGATTTCACATGCGAAATTTCACAGGCAATGATTTTTATTCGCAGTGTTTTAATGTAGCTCTTTCATATAATGTGCTACTTTTAATTAAGTATGAATTATGATGAACGATTGCTAATTAGCTAAAATATGAAATGTAACAATATCTGTTTCATTTTATGTCACACAACAAAAAACAAACAGCTTCACAGAACAGTATGTATGCAACAATCAATAACCGCGCGACTAGTGAAAAATCATTCATTTCATCTGTCTGCTATCTAATGAAATCATACGAACCACGACAAGGAAATCTAAAACTTACACCTTTGAGTTTAAAGTTCATATTTAAAATGCCCAGTTTCGTCCGTCATCACATCTCTTGTCCTTTTCTAACACGCACATGATCAAATCATTCCTTCTTACTCGCTCGGTCGCTTCGCAGAGCTGCGCTCACGGACTTCGCTCGAATGAATAAATGAAATTCATGTGATTCGTGATTTCATTGACTGTGAAATTATAGCAGTCTATGTGAAGTAAAATAGCAGGTGTGATTAATGAAATTCATTTCATATGATTTTTCACTTGCTATTCATGAAATGTTCCATGCCTAGTGCAGATCGCCTTAGCCGGCGCGATCATTGGCCAATGACAGGTTGCGCGACCCATGACATTCCGCGTGACTTGTCATTTGCCTATGATCGTGGCGTCATATGGCGTGATTGCGCCGGCAATGGCGATCTGCACGCGTTGGTGAGGTTGAAGCATGAAGTATTTTGGTTTTGTGAGGTACGTAACTCATAGAACTGATGGCCGTCGGGACCGAAAAGTTCTCGAGTAGCAACCACGAACCAGAAAATGTAGAGTAGACAGGCCCAGGCCGACGATCTAGTAAAAGTCGCGGGAAGAAGCATGTGAATTTATTTTGTACGAGTAGATGCGTAAATGCTCCGGTATGTGCCAAAAATCTCTCTCAAACTCGCCTTTAAACTGTCGTATTTTTTACACCCTGTATTTGCAGTCATAGTCATGAAAGAACAACTAACACAAAATATTTAACGTAATTTCAGCTGATGGAAGAAGAGGACGGAGAGAAAGAGCTGACAGAGCTACAGAAAGAGATAGACGCACAGTTAGAAAAAGACAACTCTAGGAGACGAAAGTTGGCGCCTGGAGCGGGTGCCACTCTCACACCTATAAGCTCTATAGTACAACCTGGTATGTAAAGGATTTTCAACTTTATGTCTTTAGTTTGTAGTATATTTGCTGCAGAATGTACATAGTTTAACTTTCCCCCGGGACAAACTTGACCTTCACTAGTTGGGTTTTTATCGGCGGTCAAGATGTAGATACTGGCTACACAGGATTTGGTTAAATACTGTAGCACTTAGATTTGTAATAGGTAGGTATTATTTTCCAACAAACGTGTATATTCTGATGTGCTATTTCTTCTCTAGAAGCTTCGGAAGACTCAGAAGACGCAGAAGCGTCTCGTTTCGCCGCGGAAGACACGTTAACCCTCATCGGGGACATCGCCAAAGACGCGAGACCAGAAGGGGAGAAAGCGCCCTCCAAGATTGACCAGTTGAAGTTCGAGAAAGGACTCGGTAAGAGACACAACCCTTTTTAAGGTACAGCATGTCAGAAAATATCAAAGCTTTGTGACTTTATAGGAAGTAAATAAGGTTTAAAGTTTGGTGGCAAAATTATATGCCAAAAATGCCCTATAATGTTTTACCCTCCAAGATTGACCAATTAAAGTTTGAGAAAGGAATGGGTAAGAGACTTAAATGCTACGGATACAACCCTTTATAGAGCACAGCATGTCAGAAAATATCATAGCTTTGCGACCTTATGATAAGTGAATAAGGTTCAAAGTTTGGAGGCAACATAGCCAGTGCCTTATAAAACACTACCTAGAACAAGGATTGGACTTCTGGGGTCGGCCATATCTGGCACCAGAAGACTATAATACTTATCTAAAGTTTAAGAAACTTAATCTTATCATTCAGGAACATAAGCATAATGGATTTTTTGTGGATAGTGAATAGGGGAAACACAAAAATGCCAAAACCTTGGCAAAACATGTTGACACGTTTCTAACATCATAAGACCAACTCATAATAATGCTTAGTAATATGTTTTCACACATGTTTATGTAAATAAGTTTTCTTTAAAAAGATCCTAATGTGTCAAAGTGCACGTGAAGTCATGGCCTCATATTTATTGGTTTTAAGAATATTTATTTTATTTTTATTTACATACACACACATTTACTATTGTTACAGGCTAACCCAATATAATATGTCTTGGATTATTAATTACTAACGGCCCGCTCGCGACTTCGTACCCGTGGATCCCGTTTTACCCCCTTAGGGGTTGAATTTTGCAAAATCCCGTCTTAGTGAGCACCTAAGTTCTAAAAGGAACCCCCATGCAAAATTTGAGACTCCTAAACTTGTAGTTTCTGAGATTTCGTGATGAGTGAGTGAGTCAGTCAGACCTTTCGCTTTTGAGATTAGTTAATTATACACTTTCTAATCAATCCAGGTCCAGAACTAGCAGTAATAGGTCTCGGGCAGCCAGAAGAGAAGCAAGCAGATCCGTTCCTAAAACCAGAACCTAAGCAGCCGTTCAGCAAGGATCTGCAGTATGATGAGCTGGTGTTGAGCGCTGATGACGAGGAGTACGTGAGCTCGCTCATCATGACGGATGCTGAGGCAAGGCATAAGACCATGCTGTGGCATAAAGTCAATGCTGGGTACCTGAGGGATCAGAAAAGTAAGTTTTTTTTTCAGGATAAAAATATATAAAAACTAGCGGCCGCCCGCGACTTCGTACGCGTGGATCCCGTCTTACCTCCTTAGTGGTGGAGTTTCGTAAAATCCTTTCTCAGCGGATGCCTACGTCATAACATGAACCTGCATGCCAAATTTCAGCCCGATCCGTCCAGTGGTTTAGGCTGTGCGTTGATAGATCACTATGTCAGTCAGTCAGTCACCTTTGAGTTATACAGGGTGGAAACGTTAAGTGATCTCACTTGATTATTTCTAAACTATACAAGATATCGAAAAACTGATTACTGATTCTGAAAGTGCTTCACAAGCTCTTTTAAACGGTACCAATAATACATTACAGAATAAACTGGATCTATCCGAAAATTCAATGTTTCCATCTTCCATACATTTAGTAAAACCACATAATATTAAAAACTATACAAGATATTCAAAAACTGGTTACTGATCCTGAAAGTGCTTTACGAGCTCTATCCAACGGTACCAATAATAGGTTAGAAAATAAACTGGATCTATTCGAAAATTCAATGTTTCCAGCTTCCATACATTTAGTACAGCCACAGTCATGGCACTCAAGTCTTGTTAATATTATAGCAAGTAAAGCCTAAAACCAGTATTTTCCACGAATAATTTTAAATAAGAATGCAATTTACGAGTTCATTTGAAGTTTTTATTATTTAATTAAAAAATTAATACTTCTATTATTATTTGGCTGGCACATTTAGTATGGAGGCTGAAAACAATAAATTTTCGGATAGATCCAGTTAATTCTGTAACCTAATATTGGTACCGTTGGATAAAGCTTGTGAAGCACTTTCAGAATCAGTAATCAGTTTTTCGATATCTTGTATAGTTTAGAAATAATCGAATGAGATCACTTATCGTTTCCACCCTGTATACATATTTTTAGATTGTTTTTCTACTAATTTTACAAAAACGATGAACCGATTAAGAAAATTTGGTGTAGAGCTAGTTTGAGATGCTTGGAGTTGGAACAACATAGAATAGATTTTATCCCGAAAATTATCATTATGATGGGGGTATAGCAATGGGGGTTATGCCAAGCAGAAGAAGTGATCATCACACGCAGCAGAAGTGGAAATACCCCTAAATAATTTAAATGAGCTCTCACAGTCACCACGAACCTCGAGTTGAAACCAATTTTCTGATCTATAAATGATAGATCGTTTCATCCACGAAGACGCGCCCCACCAATTTTTGGTCGAGGGAAGCGCGAGGTGCGGGAGTTTGATCCGAGCAATCCGAGCGTCATTATTGTAGTGTGCGTGTGCACTCATGGATAATTTAGCGTGTACCGATAACACTCAAACATTAGCGGAAGAATGATGGGGCGCGTCTTCGTGGATGAAACGATCTATACATATTAATTTCTTTTGCCTATATTCAATTATCTTCTTCATTTATCACTATCTTAATTCAATTTCCAGTAAAAGAAGAAATGCGCGCCAAAGAGCGGGAAGAAGGCAAAAAGAAGAAAGTCCGCGGCTGCTACAAGAAGAAGTTAGCGTGCAACGCGGCCACCGCCGGCGAGGCTATCGAGAAGATGCTTGCTGAGAAGAAGATCAGCTCCAAGATCAATTATGATATATTGAAGAGCTTGGACCAACCTGGGACACCCGCGCCTGCTTCTAAAACAGAGGAGGCTAAGAAAGAGTGAGTCTTATCACCGTGCAGTAGGGTCCTGTGCTAACGCATAGTTCGTGATAGATTTGAGTTTTATTACCGTGCAGTAAGGTCCTGCGGGCGCGCAAACGCATGGTCCATAAGAGGGTGAGTCCTATTACCATGTAATAAAGTACTACGTAAACCGCCTCCAAGCCGGAGGAGGTTAATATCCGTTTTCACCATCAATCCATAATTTTAAGTGACCCCTATGGTAACATATAACAGGAATTTTGTTTTCATAGGGGTCAATTAAAATTAGGGATTGATGGTGAAAACGGGCTTAAGAAAGGGTAGGTCTTATTTTTGTGTAAAGTTGCTGCGCAAACGCATAACACAAAATATAACAGAAGGTAAACTCATGTATTTACCTCGCGCTTTGCATACCTCGCTCGCTCGCACGCTCGGCCGTCGCGCTAGGGTTGTCTTGTCATGTGTTGCGTTTATTTCGTTATGATATAAAAAAGTAACTCCTAATACTATGGAAGAAAGACAATAATAGATATCCACATCCATGTACTAGTTATGTTTAGTACGTTATTATAGTAATAGTCTGCAAACAAATACACGAGAAGGAAGTAGTATGTAGTTGAGTGGTTGACACTACCTAACAATTCCTAAAACCTCTTTAAAACAATTCGATATGCCTAATAATTGAGTTGGCGTTCCATTTATCAACGTAAAAAGAACTATTGAAATACAAATAAATACCTTACTTGCCTCCCGGAATCAACTGGTAGTTTAAAAAACGAAAATTTAGTTTTTAATGTTGAGTGTAAGCAACCGTCTACTTAACAAATGATAAAATACCCCTTTTTTGTTGTTCACTCATTTTCGCACAAACAAAATAATTTCACAAACGCGTGAGCAGCGTCACTCAAGCAACGCAGTCGCGCCTCGCATTCGTCCAAGACAGTCTTGATAACGCGTACGTGAGTGGTGTCTATGTGTGCGTAGCTGGAGCGCGCTTAGTATGGAGTTTACCTTCTGTTATATTTTGTGCGCATAATCTGCGCGAATATCAACTGGCAATATAACACAAATCTTTCAAATAAAACCGAGGAACAGTGATACCGAACTTTATATCTGTCTCAACTGATTTAAAAAGATTTTGATTTTAAATGTCACTAACCTACACTTTATTTTCATTTCCAGCGTCATAGCCCCGTCACCGGAGGCGCCGGTAGAAGTCCCGGCGTCGCCCGTGCCCCGCAAGCGCCGCAAGAAGCCCGCCGCCTCGCCCGCGCCCCCCACCCCCGCCACCCCCGCCGTCAATACATCCGCCCCCGCCACACCCGCTCCCGCTACACCCGCGACACACGGTAAGAAATATTTTAAAATAACCTTTAATAGACAGATCATGAATGTCGTGACCTCTCCTGACCAATCCACCGCTTAAGCGTCGCAAAGCCCGCCACGCCCACCGCCCCTGCTACACCTAAGTAAGAAATATTTTAAAATAACCTTTGATAAAGTCCGGTCGCCGAACACGTACAATCTCGTCCAATGACCCCAAGCTACCCATCCTTATTGCTCGCGCGTAATTATGTTGCTATCGCGCTCGCACACTTACTGCGGCCGCCCGTCGTAAAGTCGCGACAGCAATATAGTTACGCGCGAGCGATAAGGATGGGTAGCTTGGGGTCATTGGACGAAATTCTACATGCTCGGCGATCGGACTTTAGACAGATCATATGAAGGTCGTGACCTCCCCTGATCAATCCACCGCTCAAGCATCGCAAGACCGGAGCCTGCCGCGCCCATTGTTGATAACCCCACGCCCCTGCCACACCCGTGATACATGGTGAGAAACTTTAAAAATAGCCGACAGACCATTGCAGATAGTAAGTCGATAAAAGCGGCGCAAAAAGGTCGTGACCTCAGTCGCAATATGGTAAGAAAGTCTAGTTCCTAAAGTCTCTTTTAGAACGTAAGATAACCAAGCGCCGCAAGAAGCCCGCCGCCTCGCCCGCGCCCCGCGCCCCCGCCCCCGCCCCCGCCACGCCTATTGTCAACACACCCGCCCCCGCTACACCCGCGACACACGGTAAGAAAATACAAGAACGGGACTATTCCCACCTCTCGTTCCCACCGCTGCAACTCCTGTGTAGCCAGGATTCAAGTTTGTCCCGGGGGAAAGTTAAACTATCAGAAATTAATCAGAAGAACATAGGAGTTCGAAATTAAGGTTCGACTTGCAAAGCGAATGACAGGAGACAAACAAAGGCTTAATAACCTTTAAGAAAAGATATGCACCACGGACAATAAATATCAATTAAGGGGGCCTATCTGCACATGGTAAGAAAACTAGTTGTTGATAGTCCCCTTCAGGTCTTAAGATGATCGAAACGCTGCAAGAAGGTCGTGGTCTCGCCCCTGCTACACCCGCGATACATGGTAAGAAACCTGTCAAATAGTGATAGAGTATTGCAGATCGTAAGATGATATAAACGCCGCAAAAAGATCGTGGTCTCACCCGCCGTGCCCGAGATCGTAAAATCAAACCGCTGCGCAAATGCCACCTGCCACGCAATCTGTCAACATTCTCAAACATACACGGTAGGATAACATTGTCTAATAGAGTATTAGATAGATCATGAGATGACCAATCCATCGCTCAAGCGTCGTGCGCCCAATGTTGATGCGCCCCTGCTACACCCGTGATACATGGTGAGAAACTTTAAAAATAGCCAACAGACCATTGCAGATGGTAAAATAGTAAAGTCGTGATCTCACCCGCAATAGGTAAGAAAGTCTAGTTCCTAAAGTCTCTTTTAGAACGTGAAATGACCAAGCCCCCGCAAGCGCCGCAAGAAGCCCGCCGCCGAGCCCGCCGCCTCGCCCGCCACCCCCGCCCCCGCCACGCCCGCCGTCAACACATCCGCCCCCGCCACACCCGCCCCCGCTACACCCGCTGCACATGGTAAGAAACATTTTAAAATAACCTTTAATAGACAGACCATNTCTTTTAGAACATAAGTTAACCAAGCGCCGCAAGAAGCCCGCCGCCTCGCCCGCGCCCCGCACCCCCGCCACGCCCGCCGTCAACACATCCGCCCCCGCCACACCCGCCCCCGCTACACCCGCTGCACATGGTAAGAAACATTTTAAAATAACCTTTAATAGACAGACCATGAAAGTCGTGACCTCTCCTGACCAATCCACCGCTTAAGCGTCGCAAAGCCCGCCACGCCCACCGCCCCTGCTACACCTGCTGCACATGGTAAGAAATATTTTAAAATAACCTTTGATAAAGTCCGGTCGCCGAACACGTACAATTTCGTCCAATGACCCCAAGCTACTCATCCTTATTGCTCGCGCGTAATTATTTTGCTGGTGTCGCGCTCGCACACCCACTGCGGCCGCCCGTCGTAAAGTCGCGACAGCAATATACCTACGCGCGAGCGATAAGGATGGGTAGCTAGGGGTCATTAGACGAAATTCTACGTGCTCGGCGATCGGACTTTAGACTGATCATATGAAGGTCGTGACCTCCTCTGACCAATCCACCGCTCAAGCATCGCAAGACCGGAGCCTGCCGCGCCCATTGTTGATAACCCCGCGCCCCTGCTACACCCATGATACATGGTGAATAACTTTAAAAATAGCCGGCAGACCATTGCAGATAGTAAGTCGATAAAAGCAGCGCAAAAAGGTCGTAATCTCAGCCGCAATATGGTAAGAAAGTCTAGTTCTTAAAGTCTCTTTTAGAACATAAGTTAACCAAGCGCCGCAAGAAGCCCGCCGCCTCGCCCGCGCCCCGCACCCCCGCCACGCCCGCCGTCAACACATCCGCCCCCGCTACACCCGCGACACATGGTAAGAAAACTAGCTGTTGATAGTCCCTTTCAGGTCGAAAAACGTCGTAGTCTCACGTAGCCTACCGCCCCCGCTACACCCGCGACACACGGTAAGATGACTAAAGCCTGGTCCGTGAGCACGTAGAATTTTGTCCAATGACCCCTAGCTACCCATCCTTATCGCTCGCGCGTAATTATATTGCTGTCGCGACTGTGCGACTGGCACCCGCAGTGAGTGTGCGAGCGCGATAGCAACATAATTACGCGCGAGCGATAAAGATGGAGTCATTGCACGAAATTCTACGTACTCGGCGATCGGACTTTAGACAGATCATATGAAGGTCGTGACCTCCCCTGATCAATCCACCGCTCAAGCATCGCAAGACCGGAGCCTGCCGCGCCCATTGTTGATAACCCCGCGCCCCTGCTACACCCGTGATACGTGGGACACTANATTAATTATAATAATAGCTCTCGCGGACGCCAAGCGATGTGGTCCGAATCGTCAAAGTGCACGAGTCGACTATTCGCAAGCGGCTGATGGAGTTCGGAGAGACGCCTTCCAGCGCCCTCACGTTAGACGAGTTCATGACTGTGGACCTGGAGGAAGAACAGGACCCTCCGGCTTTCAGAGCTGCTAGGAAGAGGGATAAGGAGTGGTTGCAGAAGGTACGAATCAATTAATTATAATAATAGCTCTCGCGGACGCCAAGCGATGTGGTCCGAATCGTCAAAGTGCACGAGTCGACTATTCGCAAGCGGCTGATGGAGTTCGGAGAGACGCCTTCCATTTCAGCCATCCAGTCATCCAGTTCATGACCGTGGACCTGGAGGAGGAACAGGACCCTCCAGCTTTCAGAGCTGCTCGGAAGAGGGATAAGGAGCGGTTGCAGAATGTAAAGAGCGATTGATTAAACTTACGACCTTCTGGCTTTTAGAGCTGCAGAAGGTAATGATCAATTGAACTCTTAAGCTTCAACCACACCAACGTGTGCAGATCGCCTTCGCCGGCGCGATCATTGGCCAATGACAAGTTGCGCGACCCATGACATTCCGCGTGACTTGTCATTTGCCTATGATCGTGGCGTCATATGGCGTGATTGCGCCGGCAATGGCGATCTGCACGCGTTGGTGAGGTTGAAGCATGAAGTATTTTGGTTTTGTGAGGTACGNCAAGGTTATAGTCAAAAATGACAAACTTTTCATTCAAAGTATCAGATGTCGTCTAACAACACGTTATGATGTCGAGGCTCACAACTTAAATAGTGCCCTAGTACATGGTGAGAAACTTTAAAAATAAGTAAGTCGATAAAAGCGGCGCAAAAAGATCGTGATCTCAGCCGCGATATGGTAAGAAAGTCTAGTTCCTAAAGTCTCTTTTAGAACGTAAGATGACCAAGCTCCCGCAAGCGCCGCAAGAAGCCCGCCGTCAACACATCCGCCCCCGCTACACCCGCTGCACATGGTAAGAAATATTTAAAAAAATAACCTTTGATAGATAGATCATGCGCCGTGTGGGGACGGCCGTAAAGAATACAATTCCCCACCGCCAACAGGAGGCGCGCCATAAGAGGCGACAGAATCCTGTAGCACGAGGTGGGCAGCAGCGTCTGCGTGCGAAACTTACAAAAAACTGCACTCGCCAACCCGCCTGCCAGGCGTGGCTAGTATCGGCAATGATCCCCCCAATGAGGAAAAGGCCTATGTTCAGCAGTGGACGTCCTATGGCTGAAATGTTGAGACAGATCATATGAAGGTCGTGACCTCCCCTGACCAATCCACCGCTCAAGTGTCGCAAGGGCGTAGCCTGCCGCGCTCAATGTTGAGTTGATACTGCTACACCCGTGATACATGGTGAGAAACTTCAAATATAGCCAACAGACCATTGCAGATAGTAAAATAGTAAAGTCGTGATCTCACCCGCAATAGGTAAGAAAGTCTAGTTCCTAAAGTCTCTTTTAGAACGTGAAATGACCAAGCCCCCGCAAGCGCCGCAAGAAGCCCGCCGCCTCGCCCGCGCCCCGCACCCCCGCCGTCAACACACCCGCCCCCGCTACACCCGCGACACATGGTAAGAAACTTGTCAAATAGTCTACAATAACTCCTGTTAGTGAGATCGTAAGATGACCAACCGATTTAAGAAGGCTGCACTCCGCTACACCGACTGTGTGACATGGTAAGAACCTATTAATAATAATTATAATAATTTATTTATTTAGCCCATAATAATGCATGACAGATTGCAATGTGACGCAAAAAGGCCACCGCCACGCCAAGCCACTCGCCATGCCCACTGCTAATAACTGCCTGGCAGCTACCACAATTGCGGTACATGGTAAGAAATCGTCAAATAGCCTCAAATAGCCCATTCAAAAACCTCATGTGTCGCTTGCCACACCCACTGTTGATACCCCACTCATTGCATCGGTCATACAGGATAGAAAGTCTTGCTTACCGATAATACAAGATAACATATCTGTCAAATAACCAATAATAGACCAGTACAGATCTTAAGATGACCAACTGCCGCGCGACCACTGATCAGTAGCCTAATTCACGTAACAAAACTTCAACGACAACAAAACACTGAGTTGCGATCATATCGAGTAATCGTTCTATCAAAATGACCCTTGTGAATACGGATTTAGAACCGTTTTTCAATGGGACGACGTAACAAAACTTCAATGACAACAAATCGCTGAGTTGCGATCCTATCGAGTAATCGTTCTATCGAAATGAACCTTGTGAATACGGATTTAGAACTGTTTTTCAATGGGACGACTTCTGAACGTCAGCGAGACCTTGACTGTCAAAATTCGTGAATTAGGCCACTGAATAATACCAGTGCAAATAGTATGAGGTGATTGATTCTGTAAAATAACTTAAATCTGATTGTTACATTTACAGATGCGAGCGAAGATTACGATGATGACGCGGAGCTGGATGCCACTGACACTGGTGCGGAATTATCACTAGCTGCTATGCTGCGCAATGGGCAGGATGATGACTACTATGACTACGAGGAGTATTAGCGCTGGCCACTCTGCGCTAGGATATTGGCAGTTAGTCTTTGACCACTATACACAGTAAGCTGACATTGACAACTGCTAAAGTCCGGTCGCCGAGAAGATAGAATTTCGTCCAATGACTCCAAGCTACCTTCCTACCTATCCTTATCGCTCGCGCGTAATTATATTGCTGTCGCGACTGTGCGACCGCAATGAGTGTTTGAGCGTGACAGCAATATAATTACGCGTGAGCGATAAGGATGGGTAGCTTGGGGTCATTGGACAAAATTCTATGTGCATGGCAACCGAACTTTATAATAGATAATTTAATTTACAGATCTCAGTTACAAGGATTTTGAATTGCGAATTTAACGTAAGATTATGTCAGGACGACAACAGCTATTACGATACGATTATAAAAATATATAAAAAGCAATAAACGTTTTTATTATTATTATGTTAACGAGGAGTACTAATGCTGGCCACTCTGCGCTAGGATATTGGCAGTTAGTCTTTGACCACTATATGTACATAGCTAGCTAACATTGACAACTGCTAGATCATCTGATTGTGATCTCAGTAGTAAAGATTTTGAATTTCGAATTTAACGTAATAATGTCATGATTATGTCAGCAGGCCGACAACAGCTATGTATTATGACTACGAGGAGTACTAGCACCGGACCCTCTGCGCTAGGATATTAGCAGTTAGTCTTTGACAACTATACACAGCTAGATGACATTGACAACTATTATAATTTAAGCCACGATATCCGAACAGTGAAGGGGTCGGACTGGCCGACTCGTGATCCGGGGAACGCGGGTTCTGTCCCCGCCGCCGCTCGACTATTGTGGTGAGCTCACTCGTGACGCAAGCATATTTAGCAAGGGGCTAACGGGAGTATTAGTAATTTGTGCAATAACAAATTACTAATTCTTTTAAAAAAATAGATCCATCTAAATTAAACAAGGATTTTGAATTGTGAATTTAACGTAATAAGTACTAGCGCCTGCCACTCTGCGCTAGGGTATTAGCAGTTAGTCTTTGACCCACTATACACAGCTGACATTGACAACTGCTAGATCATCTGATCTACTGATCTCAGTAGCAAGGAAATGGGAAATGTGTGTCCCCTGCCTGGCTGAATACTTAAAGAACAGAAGGATCACTCCCTAAACATAAATTTAAAAAAAAATCTCATGCAATATACTTCCAAGTTCAAACAGCATAATATCATACGCCTCCCGGGAGAAACGCTGTGGGCTCTCGTACCACTTGAACTATGCTATACGGTTACTGCCACTTTTGCACTGGTTTCGCCTGGACGACGGCGGTACGCCTAAAGCAGTTTCTATTGCTTACAGTTTTTTCATGCTTACATCACTGCGCAATGACCAGAACGACGATTGTTATGACTACGAGAAGTATAAGCTGGCCCTTCTACGCTTGTAGTCTATGACCCGCTGGGAGGGTCATCCGTCGTTTATTATAGTGCAAGCGCAGAGCTTAGTGCGTGGGTAGGCTAAGGAGTTTTTGTAGCTTTTAGATGTCATATTTTAGCATTTCACTTTTAGTACAAAATTATGCCTTCTTTGTCTACGTTGTATGTTGCAATCCTAGTGTAAAACGTAAGCTGTTATAGGCTTATATTTTTTCTACATATGACACATTAACTTTTAACTTCCATGTTACCTGCAATACGTTACACAACAACGTATTTACATAAAGCATTAATGTACTTATGTCTATTTTTATATTAAATGTTACGTGTGCCTTCCACGAAGGTGTGTTGTTTTATAAGTGTCGTCGTCAAAGCAAATTTTTTTTATTTGAGGTGAAAAACTTGAGCTGGAGATATATTCTTGAAAATTGGATATTTGCACTATACGGTTTACAAAACTAAAGATTTCATAAAGGTAGTCAATGAAAACTTTTATTCTTTTGCTGTTTCTAAAGGGGTTTCACTACATGGCTTTATATTTTACGCACATTCTATACAATCACATCAAGAATCAAAAAGTACGACCAGCAATCATATTGGCTTTTTATATTTTGCTGATAAAAAATATGCCTGATAGTGAAAAACCTGGTTTACAGTAATAAATTGTGATCTCCACTGAAAAATAATGTTAAGTATATTTATTTCTAGGCATTTTACGTATTTTTGTATATTTTGTAAATTATTTTAAGGGTTTTATCTAAGTATCTCTTAGTAGAAATTGTCCACTGCTGTGAATTTCATTATTATCAAAACTTATGTACATTCATTTTTCTACATCTAGAAAGATTCGATTAGATTAGACTTTTTATCGATTTTTCCAGAATCTTCTGTAATTTAGAAAATGTATTACTAGACTGAGATGATTTTACAAATATTATACTTACATAAAAAATTGAAAAGTACGATGCTAGCTTAGAATTACTGTAAATTTAACATTTATCGATATCTTAAATGTAACATTTTTTTGTAACCTGTAGGCCTAGAATGCGCGCCGCGATAAGCGTTTATCACGCCATTTTATCGATTTTATGCGATAAGGGTGTGACACTTGAAGATTTCATAAATGACAAATATCATTTGTCATCTAAAATTATCGATAAGATTTTTCATAGCGCGCATCCCAGCCCGGCTGGTAGCATTGTTCTTAAAATCTTTTAAATTAAATACTCGTGATGTATGTATTTTACTTAATTTAATAATGTACATACAATGAAATAAGCACTTTCATTAAATCAGTTATTTGTTGCAACTTTTTAAGTAGTTCAGTTCTTACATTTCAGGGTGAGTATAGACTAGTGCATTTGCTTGTAACAGAACAACGAGTCGCTCTATGAAATCTCCAAGTGTCACACCCTGTCACTAACCAAACGTCATTCATTTTACCTGTATTGTACCATTCGAAAGAACGTTACATTACATAGAAATGGTCTAGTCTATACTCACCTTTACAAAACTTCAACGAGTAAGATATCGTGCCCTTTTGTAACAAGAAGGAATTGTTATTATGTAGGTACTATCTATAAGAATTTAATATTTACGGCATTTTAACATGTGAAGTTGCTTATTTTGTGTTGATTTTTATGTAATTAGTATGTATAGTGTTTATCCAACAATATATCTGAATAAATGTATTCGTTTTAATAATTTATCTTTCATTGACGCCTATCAAGCATAGTTTAATCTTGGAATATAAATAGATAATAGAAACGTGAATTTAATCAAGATTATGTATGAAAACCTGACAATATTATAGGTATAAAGATAGATAGAAAGTATTTGTGTCTCAAAAGCAAGTTATCAAAGACATTATAAGATAAAAACTACTGAATTATGCTCCTAGTCTCTTAAAAGTAACATAACTGTATTATTATTAAGGACTGATGGTCTACTGCCTTTGTTGCACCTAATTAAATTTACATCCAATCAGATTCTATAGACGTCTTTGTTTGTTTACGGTCTGTGTATTACATCAACGATAAAAGGCATCTTCAAACGAGTTGCGACTTGCTTCTGAGCGTAGACGTTTTCCAACTTTCTGTGTCCCCCGCTTTGTGTTAGGCGCGAGAGACACTGTGCTACGATTTTGTATACAGCCGCGACACCGTGTTCGTTGCGTTCATACTTGGAACTAAATAGCAGTAGTACTTAATCTTTAGTGTTGCACACAATATTTCGCATTAAATAATTCTTACAGCAGCAATAAATATTGCATAACACTTGATCGTGCATTGTAAAGAAGGGAGAAAAGGTGCGTGAGCAGTGTTTTGATAATATTCTTATCAATGTCAATGAATTACCTCATTTTAAATGTAAGTAATTTCCTTTGTTCTTCTTATTCTTTGTTTTTTTTTACACACATCATCAGATTCAACACGCCATGCATGTAAAATAAAAATTCAATATGCCCAAGTAAAACTATAAGAAGGAAGGAAAGGGATCTATGCCACGTAATTCCAAGGTTGTCTTGAACTGGTCAGGATTTAGCAAGACTTATCTGATTGGACACTAAGTCGTTACTAACTAGTGGCATTCAATACAAATTTCATCAAAACCTATGATAATTTGGAAGAAACTTTTAAATTTTAAAAAAACCTATCTTGATCCTACTCGTAGGTTACCTGAGTAGGACCTAGAAGAAAATTCATTTCATTTTAGAGGATAATGAAAGACCCATATTTCCTCAACAATACCTCAATCTCAAGCAATTAATTCCGTGTGATGACTTGATATGACACATTTTAAATAGGCAGTTTATGTTGCCCAACAATTTGCAACTTCCTTGTTCTACCCCATAGATTGACACAAGGGTATTTTAAATGAATCATGGGAACGGGTTGGGTTGCTTTGTATGAATCATGATGTGGTGACAGGCGGTTTGGAGCACAACACTACTCGGTGAAACTTGTCGCTGCATGAACGTAAACGCATCGCTGCCGCGATTTGTATGGAGTTGGCGCTGTAATGCGATGTAGGTATAAAAACCAAATCATACTGGATTCGTGGCTAGTGACGTTGTGGAACGCGTGTATTTATTATTCTAGTCTCTTATTTATATATTTATAAAGTTTATAAAGTCAAATTATATTTACAGTTGGTTATTTATTAGTTATGGTGATAATTTAGAAGTTTTTTTATTTATATTTATCAATAATGGGTTTCAAGTGCGCTACGCAAGAATACGGAAGAAGAAGATGCACACAAAGCAAGCTTTTAAAAAGAATTAAGACTGAAAATAGAAATCTAAGGATAATATACAGGAAAATTTGTTTAGCAAATATAAGTTTTTTAATGGCTTCAAGATTACCAAGAAAACGGTAAGTCTTTTACAACAATTACAACTCATATAACAAAATTTTAGCCAATGATATAAATCTGTACCTTAACTTTAAATTATCTCCATTATATTTATAAAATAATTGTGTACTGAAAAATTTTAGGTTTGCTTACTTCTCCGCAGTTCAAACTTTTCCCGCGCTCATCTTTTTTTTTCTTTGTGGCTCTCGCGCGCGGTTCACTCGTCTTGTTATGGCGTAAGTACACTATGCGGGAAATTGGCAAAGACGTAATAATGTGAACACCATCTCGGCTACTTTCTCCTCTCTCACCGCCCATACTTCGGTGTCCGGGCTAGCGCTTCTATTTATTATTTTATGTAGTTTGGTTGTCCCCAAATTCACTGGTTTATCGTGTATCAGGGGCCTTATACAGATCATTTTAGTTGAATGTTGGCAGCAGTGTAGTCGTGGCAGGAGTACCAACTGATAGGTTATCGATGCTTTAATCGATACATCGGTTTAAATCGCATGTTTTAAGGCGGGGACCCACCAAAGAGGAACGTATTGTTTTGTATTTCTTGTTATTTCTATGTAGGCATTT